GCCCCTACCAACCACCCATTCGCCAGGGGGAAGGACCCTTCCGAATTGCGTCACGTTAGAGCGACTCGAATTTTTCACTCATCCAAGAAAAGGAACCTCATTGTCATCATCATCCTCATAGTCTTCATCCTCCTCCTCGGCCTGGCTGTATCCAATGTCTTCACCATAATCGACGTATTCGACGTAGTTGGCGCCGCCACACCTGCCTCCTCCTTTCCCTCCTCGATCCTCCTCTTACCAAGCAGAGCCCCCTCGCTCTCTCCCAAAAGACTTATCTTGAATTCGCGGCTGCACCTGCAACGAACGTCACTCCAAAATGATGGCCGCGGCCCGGGAGAACGCGAACCAAAGTACGCCCCTGGTACTTGCGAGAGGGGGAGTCGCTGAAAAATTCCGGGCCCTCAAGGGCTGAAGCCAAGAGGAAGCGAATCCAGTATCTTAAATTTGACCGAAGGTGCCCAGGCGAATCGCGCCGAAGGAAGAGACGTCCAGAGAGTTCAGTAAGTTTTCGACTAGCTGCCGAGGACGGCGGCCATCCTGACGGCGATTGGTCTGCCCTGCCGTGTATATATATACAACCAAATGAAACTTGAAAGAGCACCTGCCTTCGTATCCGTCTCTTCACCTCTTCACTCACTATCCCTCTCTACTTTTATCTTCTTCCTTGCTCCCCTTCCAGCTCCCTCTTCCGTCCCCCTCGCTCCGCGACTGTCCACCTGTATGAAGATATCACTATGCACGTACACAAGTAAGAAATGAGAAGCCAGAGAGGACGAGAAGCTTCTAGAACATATACTCTCTTCGTATTGTATAAGCTCTTCGTGCGTACTACGAAGATCTGGTGGGAGACGCACGCTTCGCTCCCCACCAAGCAACGGGTATACGCGTGCCACTTTACACGTCATCTTGAACCATAGCGATCATCGCGCTTATACTTTCTCAGCAATCGCTAGAAGTCATCGTAAAGAGATTTAACAGCCAGCAACGTTGCTGCTTTGACAGGCGTCCTTGTGTCAACATGTCGGGTACATTCCTGGGTAACTCTCGTTAAACAGTACTAAACGGATGCCGGTGCAACGGGATTCTGGTGTCTTGCTGGTTGCATAGGAGGCAGGCGAACTGCATTATTCCTTCTGCAAGTTGACCTGGCTGCACTCGCTGCTCACTTATCTGATTGATTCCAAGTGACTGGTTATCAGTCAGGTTTGTCGCGAACGAATGTAAATGAATAGCGAATAAGAATTTTCCATTGTGCAACTTCTTTCGTATCATTCGTAAAAATGCAGTTGCACCTACATTGCTGACACGAGTCCTGGAACAGTACAGTTATTCAGGTCGCATTTCAGGTACTCTTGGTAGCGGCTGAAGAGTCCATTATAAATTTTCTCAAATTACATAACACTCAACTCTTTTCGTATTACAATGCGATTGTCCTATCGCAGTGATGCTCGCATCTACACACAATCGTTAACAAAGATCGACTTTCCAAGTCCTCGCTTGGGGAAGCATAACGAGTTACAGAATGCATACGCGCCACGATTAAAGAAAATAAATGCGAATATTTAAATAGAAAATAAACAATATCCCCCCGATATAAATGCTGGCACGAAATGACCGTCCCTCTTACGTATAAACGGATGAAAACGTTGATTCTAGATAACGCTAAGTGCGTGCCGTATTTTTGAAATGGAAGGAAATTAAAATTAATGGAAAAAAAAAAGAATTTCAACGAAAGGAAAATCAGAGCGGTTGCAACGTGTCAGGTCTATATGTAATTGTATGCAACCGATCGGAGATACTCCGACGTATGCATATACCACACTGGTGTACCGTATAATGCCCAATGGATGGGCCCTAACCGTCATTCCCAATCATCGTTCTCTCGATTACATTATTGCCGGTATGGGCCGTAGGCCGAAACGCTCTTGGGCATCTCTCTTGGTTCCTTTCAAAGTTTCCCTTCGCTGTCTCTCTTTTTCTCACAGTACCCCACAAGGAATAGAGCCTCTCTCGCTACTACTGGCATCCAATTAGAGATCTCACGATGCACGTCGAATACCTCTTGCGTGTGTTGAAACATAACTGCAGTCACGTACATTACATATTACTGCACTGTATTCACTTGCGGTTTCTGATTGGCACTCGTGCCGCTCCACTTTCCACGGTTAATTCGTGCGTTCCGTTCCGTAAACACCTTTTATGGGGAACCGCATGACAAAAGGGATTTTACAAGAATCATTTATCAGGCAATAATGCAATTTCAGAGTGCACTTGTCAGATGGCAAATACCATTAATGATAACTGATATGCGTGTGTATATATATATATCAAGGACAGCTAGTAGATTTATGAAGTCTATTTGGTAGTTGATTACTCACTGGATCGAATTAATGGATCTTAGCAAAAATCGATATTCATCGTTCAGCAGCTAATGGCGTACTGTTGGTAGTAAGAATGAAAGTAGGAAATAGTTTTATTTAATTGATTGGTAAATGCGGCAGCGAGATTCCTTGCATGAAACTCACATTTGTCGTGGTCCATAGGAGGAGGACTTCAGGTTAATTGGCATCGTGTAAAAAAGGAAGCCGAGGATCAGGTACCCTTCGGGTAGCTTCTACCTTCGACGAAGTTGCTGGTAGCGTTCCCGTCGTTGCTGCTTTCTTTAATTGTCCTGAAGATTGGTGTTCGTCCACAAGTACAGGAACGAATACGGCGAAGCGCGTTTACGTGTGGAGGAATTATATAGTGAAAGGTTGTAGTGCCCACTGTCCCTGCTGTTGCTGATGCAGTAGCTGCATTGTAAATAACGAAACTCGTTGCTGGGCTCCGGACGTAGGGCACCGCAGCAACGGAGACCCCCAATGGATTTCTCCAGGCGTTCTTGGGTCTCTAGTGGGACTGGGAGTACAAATAGCTGTTGAAAATGGCGTCCCGCACAGTTTCTCCTTTAAGACCTCGAGGACTTGAGCTCTTGTACCTTATCAATCTTAATAAATTTTTCTTTAATTCACATCCCTCCCCCATTATCTTTGGCACTTTGTTCCTCGTAGATTTCACGGCGTCATCTGAAAATTTAATTACGAACGAGGATGATTAACAAAACGGTATGGATAAGGGCTGCTTATTTTAAATATATTAAATTATAAGCGACGTGTGTCTCTGATGCGATCGTTCAAGCTAATTTGATTTTCTTACAGAAGTGGATGGCAATATGCACCTTTTGGGTGATATTGCTGGTTTCCGCCGAGGGCAAACTGGTCCAGGAGGTTCCGTCTGGCTCGGGATGGAACTGGGGTGGCTCGAAGTTCGGCCGTGCTCCGATCTTAGAGAGATTCTCTTGGAAGACGATGGACTTTGCATATCCGGATGAGAGCAGCAGGCAGCTGGCGATAGCGAGAGGCGACTTCGTACCGGAGAACGCACTTCCGGTGGGCATCGAGATCTGGAGGAACAAACTCTTCGTTACGATACCGAGATGGCGAGGAGGTATGTGGACGAGTGCGAGTGAGCGAGTGAAATTTAAGGGAACGGAAGTTTATAGCAACCGAGATCGCGTCCCTCTCTCAGAGCTCGTCTGGACGACTTCCGGTTCGCGACAAAAAAATGCCGAAAATCGCGAGAGATGCTCGTGAATGGATTTCGCTCGCCAATCTCAAACACTCGTGCGCTCAATGGCCTCGTTCATTCTTTTTCTTTTTCTCTCTTTTTTTCTTTTTCTTTTTCTTTTTTCTTTTCCAGTGCTTTTTGCCTGTTTTATATTTATTATATACGATGGCGCGCGCCAGAGCATTGTACGCTGCGGATGGACAATGACGGCGGCACGCTGTGTGCCAATTTTTTTTGCCTTTACCCTTTTTTTATTCTCCACCAATGAATTTTCGTAGCGCACTACGCCGCTGGCACAACCCCATTGTCTTTGGGCAGGTTTTTATGTCGGCGGCGTTCTTCCATTCTTCCGTTTAACGTCAGGTTCACCAGCGCCAGACGAACTCTCTCAACTCCGTGAACTCCCTGACCTCCCCGAAGCCATTTCTGTCGATCGTCCCATTAAGGAGGTGCATTTTCTAGTTTACCTGAAAAATCCATTTTTTCTGCCCTTCCTATATCAGCATGTCTTTGCACACCACCCACGGCTGTTAGAAAGTCGTTTTTCCTTATAATGCTAATCTTTGAAGTACCGCTCCTGGGGCCATTTCAAAAGTTCGAAAAAAATATGGAGAAATCCAAGGAGTTACTTTACGATACGAAGTCAGTTGTTAGATTAACTCCACGAGAGTCAATCTATTTTCCGTAATCCTTCCGCCATAATTTCACGTCAGTGCAGCCTGCACGAACAGTCATTAGTCCTCGTTATTGCTGCTGAGAAAAATTGAACGAGTCCCTGACTCGAATCTACTTTGTCGACAGCAACGAGTCCCGAGTATATTTTATCAGAAGCTAATGAAATTTTCACCAGGTATTCCCGCTACCTTAAATTACATATCGCTGGATACGAATCTGGGTGGGTCGCCAAAATTGACGCCGTGGCCAAACTGGGTTCAAAATGTTGCTGGTTCCTGCGGCAATTCTCTCACTACCGTTTACCGGTAAGTATTTTTATTTCATTGACCAATCTCCGTCTGATTACCTGATTGATAAGACACCGCCTGAATCCTCTTTGAAATACATCAGAATTCATGCGGACCAGTGCGACAGACTCTGGGTCCTGGATACCGGTACTATCGGTATTGGCAATACCACGCAACAGGCGTGTCCGTACACCTTGAATATTTTTGATCTGACCACCGATAAGATTTTGCGCCAGTACAGATTACGGCCAGATGACATTAATCAGGTGGGCACTGGCGTGAAAACCTACTTCACGGCCTACGTATTTTCTTAAACTATTAAACTCGCCACGCAACTTTCACATTTCTACAGTTTTGCATTTTTTCTTTTCGTTAACGTCGCAGAACACGTTCATTGCTAACATTGCCGTGGACTTAGGCACTGGTGGCTGCGACGACGCCTTCGCTTACATGTCCGACGAGCTTGGCTATGGCTTGATCGTTTACTCCTGGGCCCAGAACAAATCTTGGAGGGTCACTCATAGCTTCTTCATGCCCGATCCCTTGGCTGGGGATTACAACATCGGCGGACTGAATTTCCAGTGGGGCGAAGAGGGTATCTTTGGCATGAGTCTCTCAGGACTCAAGAGAGACGGCTTTAGGACCCTTTACTTTCATCCGCTGAGCAGCAACAGGGAATTTGCCGTCTCCACTCGAATTCTGCGAAACGAACAACTTGCGCTTGATAGCTATCATGATTTCGAGGTATTTATTATAATTGGTAATTTTTTTATTTTTTCTTACGTCCTTCATACTCGAATTCTTTTACTGTTGCTACAGGTACTACCCGACGGGGGATCCCTTTTCCATCGCACGTCCTCCGTTATAGATGAAAATGACGTACAATTCTTCAATCTGATCGATCAAAATGCTGTTGGTTGCTGGAACTCATTGCTACCGTACAGTCCTGTCAATCATGCAGTTGTCGCCAGACACGACGAGGCTCTGATCTTTCCTGCAGATGTGAAGGTAAATTTTCTTAAATGGTTGTATCGGATGAACATTTTTTATTTTCATTTCTTTATTTATTTACCTTGTGCTCCCAATTTTTCATAGGTTAACCGGGGGGTGCTGTGGATAATCTCCGACAGGATGCCAGTCTTCTTGATCTCAACGTTAAATTATAACGATGTCAATTTTCGCGTACTCTGCGTTCCTGTTCGGGAAGCAATTGCTGGTACGGCATGCGAAAATGCACAATGGAATTACAACAATAATCGACTGTGGTGGGACCGAAAATAATTTTCGAAATTCTCGAACTTAAAAATTTTCCAAACAAGTCCTTTCCCTTTGATATTTCATCGCCTCCTCTCCCTCGAACCAATTGCCAAATACGATCAACCTCACGCCAAGTATATTTATCATTGCCAATTGCTGCAGCATTCTACTTTCCTATATCTATATGGAAATCTAATACACGCTCAAGATCATACCAGTAATTGAGAAAGTTTTCGTATCATTTAACTTGATTCCATGAATAATTTATATTTCTAGTAGGAAGGTGGGATTATGATTATGATTAGTTTTTATATTATCAGTATATACGTACTTCTATACTTCCCACTTCCCGCTGCTATATCGTCCATCCACGCTCCAGCAATTCAGTGCTGGAGTTAAAGGAAAATGTATATCCGTACGTGGATAATGATGTATAAGGCATAAAAGTTAACAGAGAGACGTAAAAGTCGATAAGTGTCTGATTTCCAAAGAGAGCGACGTGTCTCAATCGTAACTGGAGGCTGGAGAATTAGGCCTTAGCCAATTTTTACCGTTTACCAGCGTGAAAACGTATTCAAATCGACATGAATCATCCCCGCAGGAGCCAGATGGTTCGACGAGGCCATTAGTTTGGCCCTTGTTTCGATAATTTGAAGGGAACCTCCTGATATACGATCGTGAGTCGCCTTCAGAGTTCGCGCTACAACGAAAATTATCCGTTTCGTGAGCATCTTGTAATATATGGCCACGTGGGCCTTGTTTGGCACGTTAAAACTAAATTCTAGCGAGGCCCCAGGGGACGAGCCCCATGCCGAGTTACGATTTCTCAAAGATCTCCTCTATGCCGGGGTGAGAGTTCTTAGTCAGACCTCCAGGTGATCATCGGCCATACGAATTTTGCGTGGCGACTGGAAGCCATCTTGAATAATAAAATATTAATAAATTGGAAAATGAAGGGGTTCGGGAAGGAATAGGGACAGTCAAAGACAAGGCTGTCGATCGATCGTTATATTTCAAGAGAGCGATGATGGACGGGGCACAGGACCCTGAGGGTTATCATAAAAAAATTGGGCGCAATCGGCGGACTGACTTACTGATTACACGGTAGGTGACCGAACGGGGCCTTGCAGGAGGTTCGCGCAAATACCGATGCGAATCGTCCTGGCTATACTTGGGTCTGTTTTAAATTAACGCCTCCTTGCTTTAACACCTCTTTTTCAGGCGGCTGTCTGCCGGTTTTTGAGCCAAGCGTAATTACGGGTTCGGCTTTCGCAGCAACTACGACCGCGTCCAAGGGAGTGTCAGATAGCGTTCAATCGTACGTCGCTAACGAGTTACTTGACATTGTATATCTCGTTTCGTTAGTTCCTTAACACCTTAGCGACTTTCTGTAGTTACAATGGTTCACCGTACCTGAAGAATTTATGTTTCACCGACATCCACTCGTATCCACCGGTTATTCTACTAGCGAGCAGAACGAATAACCTTATTGGGATACGCAGTATTTTCTCATGTACCGAATGTAGGTTGTAGCCTGGTACGTTTTTCTATTGACAAATTTTTCTACAGCTTTGTATGTCGTATATTGCAAAATTACACCATAAACTCAATGTGACAACATGTTATACTAATGGAAAATGCCAGAAGAAAAAGTCAAACGGACAACGGCGTCATGTGCTTCCATCTGACGGAGAATCGGTGGGAACGTGTGACGCCTGTTTTTCAGGTTCGTTTAACTCTGTATATTTTAACGTACTCGGAGTTCGTACGGCGACCGTCCGATGTCGCCACTTTCGTTAGATTATCTTGGCGTTCGGCTAACCGTTACAGCCACGATTGGATTCTACTCCTTTCGGAATATGCTTTACCTCATTTTCCACCATTTACATATATATTTGCCCAATATACACCTGTGACGTATCGGTTGTTTATTCTCGTCCGTTTTATTACCGTTCTGTTATCGAGTGAAGAATCAATAACGAAAGGAAAATAACGAATAATGAAATGTCTATATGGACTAAATTATTTACATTTTAAACTCCAACGAAATTTCGCGTATTCAGTCGATTTTCTCGTATTTATGAATCTCCGAACGATTTACAGGCTATTTATCTTCTCTGTATGAAAAAGAGTGATTAACGATCATCCGTACGATCCGTTACAGCAGCGGAATTATTTCGTACAATACTCGCGTTGATATCCGTGCTGGTTGACAAATTAGCCAAAGAAAATTAATTCTCTGCCAACGAGAAATTCGCTAAAAGATCACTCTCGATATTTACTCTGGAGTTAATCATCTCCCTGTTCGTGAAGACGATTACAGAATTCCCCATCGCAATTGCCTAAAAGTTTGAGACGCTTATATAGAATTTAATTTTCCTCGTCCTCTTTGCATTTTGAAACCGCTATCTTTTCCTCTCTTATTCATTCGTTACGACCAATCTTCTTGTTCTGATTTTTCCCTTTGATGCTCTATTTAATTATGCAATCCTGTTCAGTCAATTAAATATTCCGACCGGAATCAAATAATTTGGGAACGAAATAAATTATCGATAAGATCCTAAAGTTATTGTGATTTTCATAAATAGGCCCTAATAGCTCATACGAATACAAATCACTCGACGGATTGTCTCTTATCTACGATCATTTATGTAACTGTAATTATTTTTCACGACATGAATTATTTCATACCTGACATTTTAAGCAATAAGATTTATGTATTATAAATATCTGGAAAAAACGTATATGTTATAATTGTTTTTACGATCGCACATTTCCAAATAATCAAACGTAAATAATAAGAAAGCCCCCGAAATCACAAACCCTAAAATTTCTCGTTTATTTGACAAACTCGTTGACGGCTACTGCTGCCCCTTGCGAATAATTTTTAGGGGAATCCATAAACAAATATTATTACTCACCGAAATGTGGAAAAATTTATATAAATTTTTTATCATCGCATAATATTATCATGTTACCGGTTGAGTATACTCAATATGAAATTTTACAAACAGCTAATTTTATTGTATGTACTTGATCGAAAGGTAAATAAAAACATTTGACCGACAAACACCGATAAGGAGCATCGGACTCATATTAGGTAATTAATATGCTGCCGGCCAATAAAGTCACTTTCATTTGGCTATCGGCTAACCGACGTCATAGCCAAAGGCCTCTCAGCTCTGCTTACTGATTAGACCAGGGATGCCCTTCTAAATTAATTATCATGCGGCAAATCAAGAGATGAATTAACCATAGGGTGGGACCCTTCGACCATTTCAAACGGTATAATTCTTCTCTGTCTTTCTGGGAATTCTTTGATAGATTAAATTGGTCCAGAGTTTTCGTCGATTGGAACAACGCGTACTGATATACTGTCCATTTTCAAAGCAATAGCAAAGTCAGGAATGAAAGTAAGGAAGATATGAATACAATGAACGAGCAAGAAAGTCCACTTGAAATATACATATCAGGTAATTAAGTGGTCTCATGCAAGTAAAAATTATGTATCAGGTGTAACAGATGCTAATTACTTTATTGTTACAGGTGAGAAGATATTAAGATATTAAGTTAAAAGGTTGGATCAGATAATACATCCCTTGTTGGTTGAGTGCTGGTTCCACCTAAATCCTTCAAATCTTAGCTCAGGAACTTCATCCCTGTGCTCTGCTATGTGGAGTTATGACTTACACAGTATGTGCCTACATCTGCTTCCATAATTTCCATGTTATTAACTCTCAGGTACAGACTCAGCTTTCCTTAATGGCTTACACAAAGTGACACGGGAAGCGCGACCAATCGAAGGAGCTTTCTACCACACCCATTTATCATCTCTAGAGTTTACATTGAGCCTCTAAAAACAAACAGTCTACCTGTACCTGCTGCTGGATGAAAGTCTCATTAGAAAGTTTCCTTGATATGATTTTGATGAATTTCCAAAAGATAGGCAGTAGGGTTTTTTGAATTTTCACAAAATTTCTTTGTTTACCCCTTGCGAAGATATCGTTGAAAGTGCGCAGGTTCATATAAGAAGGGGTAGTTAATTAACTCCAAAAATGAAAGTAAAAATTGGATCTTGAAGAAAGTTAGTAGGTGGGTATGGTATGCTCCAAGGGAAAATTTTCGAAAGAAATTTAACTAATTTTGATATTACTTTTGATTAAGATTTATCAAAAGTTCAAAAGACAACACAAGGTTAATTGACTAATTTCATGCCGTTAACTATTTTTCAGATTTTCATTCGAAGCGACCAAGAGGTAACTGGAGAACGAGACCATTGCTGATAGTACATAGGACTAAGCATGTTTATAAACGTCGTTTAAAGTAAATTCTTCAAGACGTATCAGTATCAGCAGTTACCACGACGGCATCCCAAATGATATCTGTTGTCTCAGGGGATACTTACAAGGGATGCAAACATCAAACAAGGGACCACAGAGCCACAGAGAAACTAAGGGCTACAATTAATCTTGATCCCTCGCATCCAATCTTCTCCAGAGAAATTATACAATTGTTAAAACACTGCACAGCATCCGGGCAGATCCTGTGACCGTGTAATTCAAAGACTTAATTACCAGATCTGGGACCGTTCCTGGATCTGGAGAAGGAGTGGAAATTGTATAAAGGGGAAAGGACGTCAATTTTACAAGGAACAAACCAGCCAGTATTATCGTTATGGAATTTTCATGGCAGCTCCAGTGACAAAATATCATATAACGACGACGTCAACGAAGCTATTACAAAGGCAACGACCCGCAACTGTAAGGGAAATACAAAAGTCAGTCATAGTGTCAGTCAGTCACCTTAATGAAAGGGAACGGCAGGCGAGGGTAGGACACCCTAAGAAAAAAAATGTTAGTAAGGGAAAACGTGGATTCATATAGATTTTTCTGTTTCTTCTTCTTTTATTCGAGACTGTAACCCTTCTCTCACTCTCTCTCTCTCTCTCTCTCTCTCTCTCTCTGTCTCTCTCTCTCGCTATATATTGTTACGTCCGAACCAGAATGGAGGCTTAGACTGGTGTACTATAACTTACGTAATATACTATAACTTTGCCCTGTTTTGAGTCAATGCTTGCGCACTTTACTCGGGATTGGGCTATGCCTCTAATTACCAAGGGAAGAATGAATTGAACTGGATATTTGCTAGGATTGAGTTGAAAATTACTAAACAAATGGAAACCATCACCAACTAAACAATTGAACCTAGGAAATCTAACATTTATGATATTTCAACAAAATTAGATAGTACCGTCACCAATAATAATTTGATTGTGCTTACCTTGATTCTGTTGCTTAAGGTTATCGAAGATGTCTGCGGTGTGGAAGAGGTTGGTTGCAGGCAAATATATATATAAGCAAAGTTAATGAACAAATGAATAGAGTTTATTATAACTTAATGCACTGACAACAAACTCTACAAAGATGCTAGTTAAGGAATAACCGAAAACAATTTCGACTGGTACTAGATAAATTAATGAATTGCAATAATTGGAGTAACTGTTAGATGGTATTTTGTGCGAGAGGAATGTAGAACTGTTTTACTAGACTGTCTGACGGAC